GGGGGGGGGTACTGGGGATAGAACTCAGGACCTTGCAGAACCACTGAGCTAAATCCCTGCCCCACTTTCTACAAGTTATTGCTTTTTCCTCAGTCGATACTATCTTTCAAGATTTATCCCTGTCGACACACAGCAGAGAACTGACATTAATTCTTCATGTATTCTTCTGCATAAATACACCACCATTTCCCATTTCTCCACTGATGAGCACATCAGTAGTTTGCAAGGTCGTGTTCCAACCATTTGCACTGAGAACTCTCGCAAGACACTTCCCTCTGCTGTATACCTAAATAGCATGCATCTTCAGCACGATGAAATATTTCAAAATATTCTCTGAGTAGCTGTACCAATTTAAATGCCTACAGCTGCAGGGACTGATGGTTCTTCTCTCATCTCACTACTGCGTGGTATCAACAGACTTCAAAAAGTTTTTGCTAATCTGTTAGTTGTGAGCTAGTATTCTTTTCATTTTTATTTTTCTCTTTTCCAGTGAGACTGAGCATAATTCCAAAACCATTTTTAGTATTTCTTCTACCAAAGTCATTCAGATCAACTTTCCATCCGAATGAAAAAAAAAGGTTTTCCAAATCGTGGAAATAAGAGAGTATGTGTCACCAGCACTCTGTTCTTCATACTCAGATCCAATAGATTTTGTACTCTAAAAATTTTAGTCACTAGTGGCAGGTTTTAGACCAGGTCCAAAAAGCAGGTTCCAAACTGCCTCCTACTCCACCTCTCAGTCAACACTCATCAGAGAGGCAGAGCAGTCCCCATGTCTAAGTTACAGCAAGTGCCCCTTATAAATTAAAAATGAGATCTAAGGCTGGATGTGGTAGTGCATGCCTGTAATCCCAGCACTCAAGAGGCTGAGGCAGGAAGATTGCCATGAGTTCAAGACCAGCCTGGGCTCCATAGTGAGTTCAAAGCCAGCCTGAACTACACAGTGAGACCCTGTCTCAAAAACAAAAAAAAAAAGACAAAAAGAGAGATCTAAAATAAATCAATTAAAGTCCAGTATTCATAATTTAAAATAGAGAAAAGGCAAAATTAATATTAATGAGATACATTTGTCTATCTCTCAAATTAATAAGACAGAATTCAGTGTATATGGGCAAAATGGTTATTTATGAACTGCATATGGTAAAATAAATTATATAAACCTTGTCTAGAGCCATGTGGTAATAACTAATACAGGCCTTAATAATTCACATACTCTTTGAAAAAGAAACTTCATTTCTGGGAATTTATCCTAAGGAAATAACTGAGAAGTCACGCAATGATATATGGGAAGAATGTTAAGAATGTTGAGTATTATTTATACAACAAGCTATCTCCATGACAATAACACGAACTTCAACACTACTTAAATCAACAGTAATATACTACAACCGTAGAAAACAAGTATAAAAGTATTCTTTAGTGGAAGTAGAAAGACTTTCACAATAAATGAAATGGAAATGACAGACTACAAAACCATTTTCATTTGCTGCATTAAAAGTGCACTGAAAAAGTCTATTAGCCAAATGTTAACAGGTTATCAATAGCTGGCAAGACTCTGGGTGATTTGTTTTCTTTTTGCCAATCTGAATTTCCTAAATTTTATACATTAGACTTTTCCAGTGAAACATGATCTTAAGGTCTGGGACCAGAGCAGGGACACGGGCTCACCTCTTTCTCATCCCCAGCCAGCCCCTCCGTGAGAGGCGCGTAGAGGAGCAGGTACCCCGTGGCCCCCGGCACTGGGTCCCACTTGACGCGCAGGCTGTTCTCCGTCACACCATACAGCTCAAGGTCGGAAGCCACAGGCAGAGCAACTGCAAGAGATGTGTTTCCATGTTCAGCCACTTAGAAGTATCCTTGCAAAAATGGAATAAAAACTGACACTGGCCATATCTGACGGGTAAGGGAAAGGGATTAGGATAAATCTCAGTGAAAACCATGAAATGTTTCCAAGTACAATTCTAGATCCTCCATAATGTGACCCTGCTTCCTTTTCTAAGCACATTGTCCAGTTCAGGGCTTTGCTCACACCTGAAGCTCTTTGTACACACTGCTACAGCACTTCTGGGCACTAACGTGTTGCATGGCTTGGGTTTTCCCCTCCTTCAGCATTAGGAGGATCATTCAAATATTTCTGCCAAGAAGGGCCTAACATCCACGTGACAGCCTGCTGCCAGCCACGCCTTTCATGGTGTCTAGAGAACAGCCTCCACCCCTACGAGCCCGAGCTCGTGTCAGCCAGTGGCGTGGGGGGAAATACGCACGTGTCGTCTCCGTGCCCCGAAGGCCTTCGCTGGCAGTGTGGGCATAGATGGCAAAGACCGCTATCTGGTATTCAGTTAAAGACATCAAGTTTTTCAGGACCAGGGAAGATACACTTCTGTCCACCACCACCTGTTTAAAGAAAGTTTGAGGAATGGGAGCTATCACACAAGCAGAATTAAAAATCAAAACATGAGCATCTCCAGCGAGACCGTTGCATTACATATATCATTATTATTGATATCATGGCTTCCTTTCTATTGCACCATTAACTGTCCTTGAATTCCTCCACCAAGTAATGTATCTTTTATGGACTGGACCTGAAGTCATTTATTAATTCATATCTATAGAAAATTGTGTCCTTCCTAGGCTCACTGTCATCTATCCCCTCTGTAACCACTTAATCCACACTAGATACATATGTGTTTCCATAGTAACTGGCAAACATTTAAAAGGTCCATTAGTCATAAAAAGACAGAACTGTTGGAAGCACTCTGATTTTTTTCCAGATGATTTAAAACTTCATCATCTACTTCTCTAACATTTCAAAAAACCCACAAATCCTGCCATAATACAAAAGAGAACTGTGAAACACATGGAGGTCAATCAGAGAGCAGGCCAACAGAAGGACATGGGGATTTCACCATGCTCTACTTTATCATCTGCGAAGAGCTGAATACAAGGTAGGAGTGGAGAGAAGCTAATTGCCTGGCAATGGGTGCTCTCTGCAAACCATGAGAAATGCTGGCCACAGCTGCCTTGCCGTGGCCTTTCGCTAGCATCCATCTCTACAAATATTCAGGAAACTTCAGACCCTGTGGGACCAGTCCATTATATCACCATAGGATTTGGAATTCACAGACTTCACTAAGGCAGAGATCTCAGGCCACTCCCAAGTTAAAAAAAATAACTATCAAAAAGAGTTTCTGCCAGATAATTAACTACTGACACTTTTTCTTTATAACTCACTAATTTTAGGGGAAAAATGTGTTAGAAATGCAGACCTGACCAGTTCTGACGGTCATTTGGTGGGGAGAAGAGAGAAGATAGAAACACCGTACCTCCAAGAGATGGAAGAGCAAACAGATGCATTGAAATGGATTTGGGTCAACTTACTTAAAGTATGCATGACAGAATAGTCTCCTCTGCACACTCTTGTCTTGTTCTCACTACTGTAGAGGGCAGCGGAGAATAAAAAGTAGGGTTTGGAAACATTATCTCCTTATTACCTCTTCCGGTTTTCCCCCTCGGGTAGGGTAATACACGACCCTGTATTTCTGCACGTGGCCTGGGGCATGCGTCCAGTTAACCATAAAGCTCCTGGCGGTGACTTCAGACGTAATCAGCTCCGTCGGTGGCCCCGTGGTGGCAAGGGCTGAAGCTAAATTAAAGAAATCGAGCAAATAAACCTCTTTCCCAAAGTTATTCCCATGCACCTAAGAAATCCCATTCGTCAGAAATGACTATTGATTTCATGCTGCTTCTAAGGTTTTTGTCTCTTGGAAAGCTGATTTGGTAATTAATTCCTGCATTTGTTCACACACTTTGTGTCCATTATATACCAGGCACTGTGCTAGGCTCTGAGGATACAAACTTAAATCAGACATAGTTCTGACTCCTGGGAACTCTCTTAAAGGCACTGTGAGTAAGGAATATAAACAAGCATTCACTGAGCATGTGGGTATCTCATGGTGCTCTTCCATGCTCTTTAGAAATATTAATTCTCAGTAGTCACTATCATTGTCCACGTTTTCTGAGCAAGAAAGCCAAAGCACAATAAAGCTAATTAACTTGATCAAGGTCTCATAAATAGTAAGACTCGGAGCTGAGACTGGTTTCTAGCGTCCGAGAATAATCTTTACATCAAAGACTCCAACCAATACTGAGTATCTAAAAATAAAAAGGCAACTAACAGATACCGACCGAGTGGCATGCTGAGCCCTAGTGCCACATAAGCGTTTGCTGTGTGTTGCATACCTGTTAGAGGAAATGGCTCTATAGATTTGGGATATGTACAGCTGGGCAGAAAGGAAACAAAATGCAAAAAGTGAATAAAGATTTTAACTTGTAGGACTTCTCTTTCAGGTAAGTAGGAGCACTTATCTGAAGGGACTTTAATAACCACAATAATAGAAAAAGCCAGCATTTTGAAAGCTGACTATGGCAGGAACTCATTTGCATGCTGGGTCATCAGCCTCCCGTAAATGTGGGGGCAGGAGGGGAGCTGGGATCTAAAGTAGTCTCACTTGGAAGTGCAGAGATTTGCTCAGGATCCTGCCACTTGGGTCCCCCACCCAGACCCAAGAGTTCTCACCCAGGGAAGAACAGCAGAAGGCAGAAGACCTGATGTGCAAAGTGTCAAGTCACACCCCTGGGTGCAACAAAGGCAAAAATAAAGGCCAACTCTTAAAGTGATGCCTCCCCCTCTGTGGAGCTCACGCCCTGTCACCAGGGCAACCTGCAGACCAATGGCATGAGGAGGAGCAAAGTCCAGGCAATGCCATGGTGCGTCTGTTCCAGCAAGAATGGGTTGGTGCACCTCTCTCCATTCCTCTTTTAGGTATAACAAAAAGTTCCAGATACTGTATGCAAGACCATACAAGGAGATGCTGAAATTGGAAGAAAAAGGTAGGTAGTGGAGAGGGAGGACTCAAGAAATACCAAAATGGTGCATTTCCTTTTTTCTTTTTTTATTCATATATTCCAGACATGCAGTTAAAGTAGCTGGCAACCTAGGAACATCGATAGAGAGAGAAAAAGATGTCCCAACAAAGCCGTTCTCTCTAGCCAAAGGACTGGGAAAAAGCCAGCCCACCAAGTTAGGAACTGTTTCAGCCATAACTGCTCTACTCCACACAACGCCACAGATAAAAACATGGTCCACCCCCACAGGCGACAACAAAGGCTGCACAGGAGCCCAAACTTCCTCCCCTTCTGGGCCATGAGAGAGCACTCTTTCTCCACCAGGGTGGTACAGGGAATACTGAACCCTTGCCCAACACCCATGTGTGACCTCAGAGAGACCACAGGAAGGGCCTGCTGGACTTCCAGCCCCACTTGGTAGTAAGCAGGCACCTTCCCCCCAGATGCTGGCACAGTGTCAGGGGACGCCTAGTGGTGACCAGCAGTAGGAAGGCCACACGCACAGCAGTGCTGGTGGGGGCCATCCGGGATTAGTACTGAAGGAAAGGAGTCTTGCTTCTGTAGTAGAATGATATTAGTAGAAGGTTAATAAGTAGCCCTCTTCTCCTAAGATATGAGAGGAGACCAAATGAGTAACCTGGACTTCTACTATTTAGCAAAAGTAAAACAGTTCCCCCTCCTTTTTCCTCTGGCAGAGAGAAGTTAGGGGAAGCCAGAAAATCAGAAGACACAGCCATCCCAAAACACTCCCATGCACAATTCCAAACACTATGGAAATAAAGGAAAAAATTAAAACTCTCAATAAAGAAATAGAAAGCTCTTACAAAGAATTAAATAACATAAAAAGGAATCAAGTGGAAATTATAGACATAAAACTATGATGATCAAAAAGAAATCTTTAGACTTCATGAGCTAAACAGCAGAATTGAGTCAACAAGGAAAGAATTGGTGAACTTTATTCACAGAACAGTAGAAATTAACTGATCCAAACAAGAGAGAGAATACTGACTTTGAGAATTAACTGAGCCTCAAAAACATGTGGAGTTGGGCCGGGGATTTAGCTCAGTGGTTCCATCTCCTGCCTGGAAAGCACAAGGTCCCAAGTTCGATCCCTGGTACCAAAAACACACAAACAAACAAACATGTGGAGTCATGATGACAAAATACCTAAACTTCCTATCATCTGACTCTCAGGAGGAGAAAAAGAAGTCAGGGCTCAAAAAGTACTTGAAGAAGTAATGTCTGAAAATTTACCCCACACAAGACAGGGCCACAGAAAACCATAGTCGAACTTCTGAGAACTAAACAACAGGAAAAAGTCCTAAGAGCATGAAGGAGAGTTAACACCACATCCGTGGAAGGGAAACAGCTCAGGGACAGCAGATTTCTCATTAGAAACCATGGCAGCTAGAAGAAAGTGGCACTATGCTTTTCCAGTGTTCAGAAAAAAGAACTGTCCATCCAGGGCTCTATATCCAGCAAAAATATCCTTCAGGAATGCAGGGAAAATCCAGACATACCCAGATGAAGGAAACAAAAGAATTTTCCAGCCACATATCTGTCTTAAAAGACCGGCTAACGAATTTCTCTAACTAGAAAGAAAATGATTTTTTTAAAAAGGAATCCTAGATCCTCAGGAAGAAGTGACAGAAAGCATAAAAAATAAGTGAACTCCAATACATCTGACTTCTTCTCTTGAGTATTCTAAATTATATTTGATGGTTGAAGGAGGAATTAAAATATTTCTGATGTGGTTCTCAACATACAGAAAGGAAATACTTAAGACAGCTATGTGCTATACATGTGTGGTAAAGGAACTTGAAGGTAATTTCAATATTTCACTCACCAATGCCAGGAAGGAAACAGGATATTACCAAAGTCCCACATTCATCAAAGGAATAACAGAATACTATAAAGCACTCTACACACATAAATTCTACACGTTTGATGAAATGGCCCAATTCTTTGAAAGTTGTGAAGCTTTCCTCCTTAACGGGGAGTAAGCAAGAATATTCATTCTTAACGGTTTTAGTCAAGTTACTAGGAGATATGCTAGCAAATGCAATAAGGCAAGAAAAGGAACTAAAAGTACTGAGATTAAAAAGGAAGTAAACAAATTATCCCTGTTTGCAGACATCATGTTTTTCTACATAGAAAACCTTCAACATTTAGAGGAAAAACTCTTAGACTAATTAGCAAGTTCAAATCAGAAGATCATAGCATATAAAATTAATATTTTAAAATCAAATTTATTTCTATTTACAAGCAATGATCATGTGGATACTACAATTTAAAAACAATAAAAGTCAAACAAAGTTAAATATTCAGGTGTAATTCCAATAAAACTTGAATGGGGCATAAGTCCCAAAAACTACTGATGAAAGAAATCAAAGGCTAGCTAAAGAAATGGAGGCCCATACTTGTGTCAAAAAAGTAACAATGATTTTTTATTACCCAAACTGATATTTGGTAATTGAAATTTGATAGCTAACTTATTCTTATTGCTATTCCTATTAAAATCCCAGGAAGATTTTTTGTAGGAAAAAGATTAGACTAATGTTTAATGGGAAAGTAAAGAAATTAGAAGAATAAAATCAATTTTAGAAAAGAACAATCCTATGGGACAACTCAAGTCTACCCAGTTGCAAGACTTAGTAGATAGGGGTGATAAATCAGGATTGTATGACATTGGGAGAGGGGTAAACCAGAAGACCTAACGGAACAGACAGACCAGGGAGCCTGGAAACAAAGCATTATGCCCCACTGATGCTTGACACAATAAATAGTTCTACTTGAAAATGGACAAGACACGAAGAAATATTTCACTGAAAAGGACAGAGAACTTCAGGTGGAAAATAAATACATGAAGGATGTTCAACTTTGTTAGCTATGAGGCAAATGAAAATGAAAACAAAAAGCATAGTGTTGTATCGCCATGGATGTAGCAGAATGACTAACACAGAAAAACAGGAACAAGAACAAATGTTGGTGATAACAGGTACATAGAAACTTGGCCCCTTGTTCACTGCTAATGTGAATGTAAAACGTTATAGCCACCCTGGAAAGAGTCAGCTAGGACATGGTCCAGCAGTTGCATTACAGGGCAATATTCCAGACAGCTGAAAATGTGTGTTCACACAAGAACCAACACATGAATATTCACAGCAGATTATTCGTAGTAGCCAAAAACTGGAAAGAATCCAGACATCCTTCAGTGTGGGAATGCTTAAATACACTGTCCAACCGTACCACAGACTCTGACACGGTGATAAGGAAATGGCTGATGACACACGCTGCACCTTGAACTCCATGGAATTCTGCACAAAAAGCCAACCCCAAAGGTGACAGGCTGCATGAGCCTGTTTGTATAGTTTTGAAATTAAATGAAAATAGAATTGGAGAACAGGGTAGTGGCTGCCAGGGTGGGAGAGGGAGGCAGGGGGACATGAGGAAGGTGGTTATAAATGGCCACAGGTGGCCCCCTCGTGGGCACAGACAGGCCCTGGGTCCTGCTCACCAGTGATCCCAGCTGTGGCTCTGCAGGGCATCACCACCCGAGGAAGCTGGTAGCGAGCACACAGCCTCTGTGTGAGAGTCCTTACAACTGTAAATTTATGTGCAATGGTCTCAGAATTAAAAGCTTACTTTCAAAAATGGTCTATGGGTCCCACACTGGAGCAAATCATCCAGCTGTCAGAGCAGCCTCCCTCACCCACAAAGCTGGCCGGGGTGCTTCCTCACTATTCTGATGGTTCTGGTTTTTCGGATGAAAAGAGCACTAAGAAACAGTGCACCCCTGTCACCTACCACTCCAAAGGCCAAGGCAGGAGCATCGTGAGTTCAGGGCCGGCATGAACTACAGAGCAAGATTCTGTCTCAAGAAGAAAGAAAAAAAGGGACGAAGGCGGAAGGCAAAGGAAGACAGGGAAGGGGGGCAACATGAAGAATGGAAGTTTCTGGTCCCAGCGGACTTCCTGCGAGGCGCTCCCCCTGTGCCCAGGATGGGGCTGGGCCCCTAGTACCTTTGATCTCCCGGTCCTGCTCCTCCATCCCGGAGCACACCGTCCTGGTCAGACTCTCCACCACTGTGTGCATCAGATCGAACTCAGCCACGTTGTACACGTGGGTGCTGTCGGGCTCCGAGGCGATCTCCTGCAGCTCATTCAGGTCCGCGTTCTTCACGCCTGGCGTTGAGGACAACAGGGAGGATGGTGACAGTTACCAGTGGGGCAGCGGACTGACACTGTCTCCACCACCAGCTACCAAGTACCTGCTGCTCGGCTCTTTGTTTTGACAAAGAATGAAATGTGTAAGTTGCAGACACTCGCGCACACAAATAAATGCTGGGGCCAGTGGGACCAGCCTGTCATCCTAGCTGCTTGGGAGGCTGAGGCAGGAAGTTTCCTGAGCCCAGAAGTTCAAGGTCAGCCTGTGCATCATAAGGTGACCTCATTTTAAATAAATAATACACACATGAGATAAATTGGTGAAATGAAAATATATAGCTAAGGCTTATATCTATTACATAACAGAAAACACTAAATCCAATTCTAACAAGTGATTCAGATTGAAAGAAAATAAACAAGAAAAGGCAACAGCAAGAATGTATATTTTTGACGAAATGAAAGTGGTTATGTCCTGATAAACGGCAGCTGAGACATGATCTTGAGGTGCTGAGTCACCCACTTGCCCGCCACAGACCTGCAGTCTAGGGTTCGGTGGAAAGCATCTGATAATTTAAAGCAACATGTTTCATGCTGTTTTGTTTTTTAAAAGTCAGTTTCAGAATCATTTTTAAATGATTAGATACCAGTTTTACTCAGTACATCCTAAGAAGATGATTTGAAACAACTAACTTCCATCTCGTGTGACTACTGCAGAAGCAGGAAGTACTAATCCCATACCTCAAACTATCAAGTTTTAGCTCTAGATTTTTGTAAGATAAGTTTACTTAATTGAGAGGCACTCTCAAATGACAAGTATATTATTTACAATTATTACTGTATAGCATTCAATCAAAGAGCAAGCTGGGGAAACTTGCATGCCAATACGACTTCCTGTCAGGCCCACAGGAAAGTTGTGGTCCTTCTGCAGTGTGCGTGGGGTCCGTGACCAGGGCCACGCGCGACCCCAAGCTTCTGGACCTAGCAGATGCTGACACTGAAGCACGCTCACAGTGCCCCAAGAGCGCTAGTGAGTGTTCTTTGTGTCTTAGCAACTTCATCCTCACACCCAACACTGTGACCTTAGCGTCGTGGTTCTGTCACTCACAGATTAATAAACACACAGAGTTTGCTAGCTCAGGGGAGCAGAGCTGGTGATGGATTCCCCTGCACTGCGACTGCAGGGGACTGGACATTGACGTGACTGCTTTGACCAGTGGAAACCGAGACAGAAAGTGGGCTCCGGGGTCGGCCTCCCGGGGGTGAAGGTGGATTTCTCTTCTCAAGCATCAGCAGAGAGGCCTTCAAAGCCCTGTCATCTAATCCCAGGAGGGTACTGAGAGACGGACTTGAGAAGCAAGCATGAGCTATGCCTTAGATGTACCGTGCGGGTGAGTTATCCTCCAACCGCAGCACACTGGGTCACAAAGCTTCACTGTCTCCAAACTATGTGCTCTACGTGGGTATCAGATAATAAATGCTGCTGATTTCCAAAGAAAGAGTCCAAATCACATCTGGATGACTTCACTTCAAGCTCTGTTGAAAAGCTCATCCATTCACTATTCACAAGAGCACAGGATGGAGGGTAAACACATAAACTAATCCCTCACTAGTCCAGGTCTTCCGCAGAGATTTCTTGTGTAGGATGAAGGGAATAAAGAAAATTTGAAAAATACTTGACATTTTTTTGCCCGAAGGACTTCTAAAGGAGGTTCCAAAATGAACACATGCGTTAGAGTAACACTGAGTATACATCGAGGCTTGAAGCTGAGTGACAATGACCCTTTTTCTTCCTAGGCAGCTGAAACTGACAAGTTTGGAGTCATAAGGATATCCAAAGTATACATATTTAATTATCTGGGTGGTAAAATATTAAAATTATTTTAAAGTTTAAAACAAAAGAACATCCTAGAAGAGATAACTCTCTCTCCTCTTTGAATAAAAGTTTGACTGTTACAACTGCTTTGTTTTTCCCCCAGCCATGCCTAGCACACAATAAATAAGCAGCTACTTCTCGAAGAAAGCCTTCTACAACCCACATGTTGAGTGGCAACTCTAAGAACAGGCAAGAGAATTTTTCTCTCAGCGATAGCTCTGAATCCTGTACCGGTGAACTCCTGAGTGATAAATGTTCAGGCCAAACAAACTCGAATCCACTCCCAGGACAAGTTTCGCCTTTGTCTCTGGGCTGGAGTGACTGTGTGGTTAGGGTCAGTCCATGACTGCGAGCGGAAGTTCTGGGACTGCTGGCAAACATGGTAAATACTAAACAGGCTGCTTTTGGCCCGGACTCGCAGCGCTCGGCAGTTTCTATAATAAACGCCTGCCTCTGACTTATTCCACATGGTCAGTGTGGGCTCGCAGGATGTGGAGGTGTGCACCGCTGGATTAGCAAACTGGTCTGGGCCGCCCTGAGAGACACCAAGATGTCGCCCACCTTCCGCCGGCGAGGCCCCCCTCAGACAACAGCGCACGACACACCAGGACGCTGGCACCACGCATCTCTGGATCTCTTTTACTTTCTCTTTGTGAAAGGAGCATGTGGAAGTCCGGCCACATTGCTACAGCTAATCCATCTCGCTCATCTGGATAAAAGCCAAGTACTTTGTGGGCCTTCTGACTTAAGACTAAGGTAACACTGGTGTCTTAGAAGTTTTCTGAACCACTAAGTCATTCCACAAGCATTTATTGGATATTTGCTGCATTAGCTTATTTGTGGCACTAGCTTAGGGGTGAGAGGAGTGGAAGGTGAAGGTGAAGTTGCCGTCTTACCCCAGGGACTCACTGTTCTGAGGAACAAGGCAAAGGAAGAGAGGAGAGAAATCTGCCCTGCTGAGGTACAATGTATCAACAGAGACTTCGGAGGGGATTTCTCTGAGAAGTTTACCAACACCCAGGAGGAAGTGATTCCAGTTAGCAGCAGTTCTCAGGCTGGCCCAGGTGTGCAGGTACAAGACAGGTGCATTTGTCAAACTACAGATTCCCAGGCACTCTCCCCAGATATTCCAGTTAGGAACGGGACCCAGGCACCTGTATTGTTCATTCAGCACCGGATATGCCTCTGGTAACTGGTGTGTAACTCCAAGTAGAGAGTATTTCCTTCTGATAGAAGAAACGTCTCATAAAAAGTTTATCAACAGGAGATTGCATCATATTCCTGATCAATGCAGGGAAATAAATGCATTTAATTGGACTAAAAGTTGATATCAAGCAGAAAAACTGAAAATGTAAAACAGACCCGAATGGACTATCTATAACAAGCAATTTCAAATGTCTTTGGAGCCCAGTAGCAGAGTGTGCAGTGGCATTTTCATTTGTATTTCAAGGTTGCTTGGGAATCAGGCTTTTTTTTTTCCAGCTGAGAAAGTTCGCTGGTGTTGATTAATGGAATCCCTCCCTGTGCCAAAGAAAATATCAGCACTTTAAGAACGGAGTGACATGATGTAAATATTGTGTGGTGGTTCTGAATGTATGTCAAGTCTATCCTTTCCCATAAGGGTTAGTTTCAAATCAGTAATACTGCATATCTAGAACTTCAGTTTTTAACAATAGAACAAGACCCAGGCAGGCTCAGTGGTGCACACCTGTAATCCCAGCACTCAGGAGGCTGAGGCGGAGGATCAGCTCCAGTTCAAGGGGAGCCTGAATTACCCAGTGAGACCTTGTCTCTAAATACATACATGACTTTAATTCCTTGAAAATAATAAAGTGATCTCTCCCTCTAGGACCAAAACAGAGAGATGGCCATGCAGTTTTCTGCTCCAGGTCCTACCTGGGTCCTGACCCCGTGGGGACGTCGCGGGGCGGGGCTGTGAGAGCCAGGACCAGCAGGGCCGACCAGGCTGCCGGAAGGGCCTAGCCATGCGCTCCTACCTACTGCAAAGAGCTCCACTCCGGACTCCCGCAGCCTCCGCGAGGCCGGGACGACGTCATCCTGAGACTTTCCGTCTGTGATCAGAATGCCGACTTTGGCCACTCCCGTCCTCGATCCTGCTTCGGGTTTAAAGTTGTTTTCAAAAATGTAGTTCAAAGCAAGGCCTAGAAGAAAGCAAGGCCGAGTCAGCGCAGCGCGGCCCGCAGCGGCAGCCTCGCCACTGCCCGAGGCGACCACAGCCCTCACACCGGCCTGGCGGGGCCTGTCCTGTCCTGTCCGGGGCAGGTCCGAGGGAAACCAGCACCGCCCGAAGAAAGGCGATCAAAAGAGTTCACTATGGCACCAGCTCACGGGAAAATCTATTCCTAATTTTTCCCCTAGATTTCTTTGCTCTTTCTTTTTGGGAATGGAAAATGTAGCCATAATAGTGGTGTTACTGCAGGATAATACACTTCGCTTATTTAAATAATGGCAATATACTTTAAAATTCTTTTCTTTTATTAGTCCACATTTGTAGTTCATAAGGACCACATTCCTTGTGGGGGAACTGGTGCATGTAGACAACACATCTTAGTTCTTTCCTCCCCGCTCCCTGCATCTTTACTCCCCTTCCCATTTGCAAAAACCATCTCTCTCCGTTTCCTATCATCTACCTTTTTTTTTTTTTTTGGTACCGAGGATCGAACTGAGGACCTTGCACTTGCAAGGCAGGCACCAGCACCACTGAGCTATATCCCCAGCCCTCATCTATCTTTTATTTTGCACTTCATTTGTATTTTGAGTTTTTTGTGTAAGAGAAAACATATGCTAAGTAAACTTGTGTATTTGATTTATTTTATTTAACATTATGGTCTCAAAGTGCATCCATTTTCCTACAAGTGGCTCATGTTTATCCTTCTTTATGGCCAAGTAGTACTCCATGGTGTACGTATCTTTCATGAATATTCTGACTTTAAGACTGAGGGTAACACTGTTATCTTAGAAAGCCTTGTGACCACCAAATAATTCAACAACTATCTACCGGGTACCAGTTAAATGCGAAACAGTGGCTTAAGTGACAGGAATGAAAGATGGAGAAAACACCTGACCTACATGTGACTTTCTAACTGCTAGTTTAAAAGAACATTGAACTCACATCCAATGAATGCTAATGAGCTTGTATTCAAAATATCTTAACCTTTATAATTTATGTTGGAAAAATAATACCAGCACATTTGTGACTGTCTCAAAATATTATTACTACAATTTTAATCATGTTTGTGAAGTTCTAAAGAACCCAAACTTCCCTCTCTTTCTCTCTCTGCCTCAGATCTAAGTAATAATTATATTTCTGCCTTTTAAGACAATTCCCATCCAGAAAGAAAGAAGGCATGTTGCAATATGATTACAGAACTTTATTCTAATAAATCTTTTTGCTATTAGCAAAAATTCCACTAGGTCATGCTTCAAATTGGCAAAGCAATTATCAAGATTTCAGTGGGTTACCTAGAGGTCGGCAACAGCGCCCTCGCTGGTGAAGGTGAGTAATGGCTCTATGTCACATGTCCCGAAGGCAGTAGCTTGCAGCAAGGATAAAATCTGTACACACAGGACATGCATGAGGCACTGGCTTCCTTCTCCAATGCCGGAAAAAAAAAACAAACCCACAACTACACACGTTTCTCGTGGTAATTAAAATGTCAATATTTAAATATCAGCAAGCCAAAGATCCCCAAATAGCTTCAAGAAAACTACTGATTGCAGCATAAGGGCAAAGAAAATACTTTGCTTACAAATGTCAAGGTGTGTGTGGAGGAGAAAAGGGTTAAAAAAGACAGAGGAAATGAACCGGCAGAGGTTAGAAGCTGCTGAAGCTGATTGCCTTATTTCCGGTGATTGCATTATACTCTCTAGGACCAACCCCTTCCTAGGACATTATTTTCATACAGCAAAAGAAATGAGATATCTGAATTTTAACTTTTAATGCTGGACTTGGGGAAAGAGTCACCTAAGAATTCTTGGTGTTAACAACTGGTAATAGCTAAGTCTTGGAAGCGGCCTAAATGTGCATTGGCAGATGAATGTATAAAGGAAACAGGGTATCACACAGTGGAGTAGTATGCCGCCATGAAGAAGGGTAAGTTTGAGACATCTGTAGGAAAACTGATGCACCTTGAGCCCATAATGCTAAGTGAAATAAATCAGACACACAAGCTTCAGTATTGCATGGCTTCTCTTCCTTAAGAAATCCAAAATATAAATAAAGAGGAAAGTAAAAGATAGATAATAGGAAACAGGGAGATCGATTTTCGTCTAAAGCAGACACCAAGATATGGGGGGAGGGGAGGGAGAGGGGAAGTGAACATAAAAAGAAGCGCGATGTGTTACGTACGTGTCCCAGCTTCCCAAAATGAATGCAGTCATTACATCCTGCAAATATTTACTAATAAAAATTCAAAAAAATTAAAGAGAAAAGGACAAAAAGAATTCTAGGGGCCACTTTGGTTAAAACATACTTTGTTGATGCTTCAAAAGTAGTGAAATGAAGTAATCCACTATTCTTCAGCAAGACAGGTCGCCGAGGGTGTGGACTGAGCAAACGTACCGGTCAGCGTGTTTCCCCCTTTGTATGGAAGATTGCGCACGGCGTCGATGACTTCGTCTTTAGTGCTGAAGGCGTTCAGGTGCCACTCTATCCTGGGGTCACCACTGTACTGAGAAAGACCTGGGAAAAGACGAGAAAGTCCGCGAGCATGATCTCGGGGCCGCTCCCGAAACTGTGGTGATTAAAGGCTGCATCTCTGTAGTATTTTTTCTTTGTCTGGCTACCGCGGTCTTTTCAAAACATCCCTGGCATCAGCGAAGAGACTCACATTGGGTCCGGGGTGGGGGGCTGGGGGTCGTGCGCACACTTTGCAGCCATTTAGAAGTTAGCAGCTAATTAGACATTTGGCCCGGGAAAGAAAGACCTCTGTCCGTGTATAAATAAGAGGTGTAGATTTTTTTTGCTGCTGTTTATTTTCAAAGGAATAATATTCCTTAATGGCTTCTAAAACTTAAACCATGCGCCTTTCTATAATAATGGGATGTTATTTAATAATTTACAACATTGCTCGAAGATTTACAACTCTTTTTATTTTTATCTTGCCTAGAATTTTTGGCAAAGATTATCTGTACTATGAAACTATTTCCACTTTTTTTTTTTAAGTTCCATACTTTGCCTGGATGCAGTTGTTTCTTTCTTTCTTTCTTTCTTTCTTTTTTTTAATCTGTTTCTTTTTAAACTGCTGTGAGATAAATTCATAAAGGGCTGTGGCTTTGAAGTCTTGTTATTATTAGCGGTGGTGGTGGTGGTGGCGTTAATCAACAGGGAATAGCCTGGCTTTTCAGAGAATTCAAATGCATTCAGTTATGGGCTGAGACTGGCCCGGCCACGGTCAGTGAGAATGAGCCCCTGGCCAGTCGTGTGCCTCTAGGAACACCGGCCTAGCGGGCCCCGGAGTCCCGGGGTCACCCTGGCAGCCTGACACGCTCTGACCCCGCCGTGTCCCGGCCCTGAGCGCTCTCTCGGCAGTGACGCACGCACCGATCTGAGTCCTCCCGGAGCCCACGTTGAAGGCCGTGACCAGATTTTCCAGGAAGAGCCGAACCAGCCTGAAGTTAAACCTGCCGATGCTCCAGGAGCCGTCCACCAGGATGACGATGTCGGCGAGCGCCGGGCTCGGGCACATGAACTTCGCTTCTGCAGGGACAGAGCAGAGCCGCGGGTCACCCCGGCCTCAGGGACACCCGGCCCGGTCCCGTCCACACTGGGCCTTGCTCTCCCTCCGGCCTTTCCTGAGTGCAGGCTTCTAAAAAAACTCCGGGAAGCGCTGGCCCGGAGCCGGGCTCTGGAAGCACTTACAGCCCCTGCGGGCCTCCACCCTGGCCCAGCCTCCTGCAGCCCCAGCCTGGCCTCCCTGCTCAGCTCCAGAAAGGCCCGGCCAGGCCCGGCTAGGCAGACGCCAGGGAGCCGGGAGGAACCGGCCCCGGATTCGAGGAAAGACAAGGCTGCACTCAGGCCAAGAAAGGCGCAGACCTGTGCTCATGGGGAAGCCTTTTCAGAAGTCAAAAACTGGAAAAGAAACCAAGAATTACCCCCAATTCGATTTTTTAAAATATTGTACCTATGTGACACTGAGATTTTTGTCCCTGAAGATCATCCGGTAATATTTTGCTTTTGCAATTTATTCATTGTAACTCCAGATAAGGAAACCAGCCAGACGTGGAAGCCACGCCTGTAGTCCCAGCTCTCTGGAGGCCGGGGTAGGAGGATGGCGCCTGTGAGTTTGATAATAATCCAGCACAGGGTGCCAATGGCACTGTCTACGCTTTCCCATCAGAGGAGGAGATGCCTGAGGTAGGGTAGGGCTGAGTTAGATCAGGTGAAAGCCGCCATTTCTATTCAGAGGCCAGATACTGCTCACTCACTCTCTCTCTCTCTCTCCTCGCAAACAGCATTTCTCTCTCACAGTTCTGGAGGCCTAGGAGTCCAAGGCATCTACAACTATGGTGTCTCTTCAAGACCTACTGATACTGCAATGTTCTTAAAGTGTTCTATGAATCCTCTAAATGCAGAATCTTCAGTGCCTTTAGCAGCATGGCTTCATAATCTAGTCTATGCTTTTAAAGAAATGTTTGACTTTTTCCTGAATTTTCGTATTAGGATTGGAGATCATGAAGTGTATGTGTGCCTGTGTGTGTGTACAGGTATATAGGGGTGTGTGTATGCATGTACATTCATGTGTGCATGTGCACATGTGTGTGCATGTGTGTGCACACGTGTGTATGCATGCACATGTGTGTTTCTCTTTCATTTCAACTTCTTGCAGGCCAAGAAAATCTCTACCTAACTTGTTTTTAAAATGACAATAAAGTGGCCAGGGATTTAGCTCAGTGGTTTCACCACCTGCTGCGCAAGCGCAAGGACCCGAGTTCGATCTCCGGTACCAAAAATAAAAATAAAAATAAAATAAAATGACAATAAAGTAATATTTTGAATATAATTTATGTTTTGAAACTCAAATTCAGAAGTGCTCATAAACAAAAATATTTTTAACCTGAAAAAATGATTTAACCAAAAACATAGCTTAGCTCCGAAGTGGGCCCGGGCATCCAGCACACATTTTTATGCACCTCCACACCGAGTGTGCTTAGCAGATCTTGGGATCTTCCCAGGCACAGACACATGTGGGCCTAGATCCCGTTAGCAGATGGAATGAGATGTATTTGCCAGTGAACTACTCCGGTCTTCACTTTGGAAGCTCAACCATGCAACTCCTCCAAAGTTTATAGTTTACATTTTTGGCACTGAGTTCTCTCCTTTAATAGAAGAAAGCTACCAGCTCAGTATTTGGGATCAGCCCTACTGTAACAAACCAAGAAAACCCTAAGATGGAATAATGTCATGGGTTACAGGGTGGACATTAATTTGGTTTTTGGACATAACTAGGGAAAATTCAAATCTGATTAAGCTTCAAAATCCCTCTCTCTCTGAGGAAAACTTATAGTCAAGTGAAGACTGGTTTTCTTTCTCTTGCAAAATTGCTGGAAATATTACTTCACTTTTTAATTAACTGGAAACTCGGAAAACCTCTTAGAAAGGGAACACATTCTGATCATTTAGAAGAGTAAGGAAACTGATATTTTCTGTTTTAAAAAATTACTTCCATTAAACATGTTTATTTAGCTTGTTCAAGTCACATGGGATTCAGAAATATAAATTCTGTCTGGCCCCCAAGGCATAAAATTAATTGACTATAAATAACAAGATTGGATTGATAAATAATGACACTAAAATGTTAAAAGTTGTTCATCAAAAAATATTTTAGGGGGCTGGGGATGTAGCTCAATGGCACCGTGCCTGCCTAGCAAGTGCAAGGTCCTGAGTTCGATCCCCAGTACTGCACAAAGAAAAAAACTTTAAGGAAAATAGAAAAGTCACATTTTAGCTGGGAGAAGGCATGTGCAATAAGTAAGACTGAAAAAGATTCAGGGATCAGGTTCATGCAGAACCGGGAGGAGACCCGTTAGAGACCAGGAAGTACACACGCTCACTCAGTAGGTGGGAACTGAGACATTTAACTGCATTCATCACCGAGTCATCACAGTCAAGGCCACAATGGCATGCAGTCTGTGTTCATTCAACTGGCGAGATTAGTAAACTTAATGCCATTGACAAGTGCTCCAAAGATGATGAAATCCGGAGGTGCACACTTCACAAAGCACATATAGAACCACTGTGCTGAAAATCACAAAATTGAAAAAAGAGGCCCACAACTTTCAATGGAGAAATGTGCTGTGTTCATGAATCGAAAGACTCAACATAATAAAGATTTGAATTATTCTCAAACTGATCTGTAGGCTTAATATTATCCTTACCTACATCCCAGAAAGGGTCTTTGATTTTTTTAGACATAAATTTATTCTAAAATTTAGACTGAAAATTACAGATCCTAGAATAGTTAAAACAATCATAATGAAAACAGATGGGAAGAATCACCTACCTAATATTAAGCCTATTATAGAGCTGCAGCAATTAATATAACATGGTAATTTGAAGGGATAGACTTATTTGCCAATGGAAAAAACATAAGATGCAAAAATAGACACACAACTCTGCTACACTGATTTCAGACAAACACACAGAAGCTGGAACATGACACCCATGCGCACCATCAACAAAACGAGCCTTGGTCTAAACCTCACACCTTATACCAAAATTAATACAAAATGGGTCAGGAACTTAAAAAGAAGACATAAAACTCTTAGAAAAACAGCATAAAATCTTTGGAATTTAGGATTTGGAAAAGAGTTCTTTGCATACAGAGTACAAAAGTACAACCCACAAAAGCAAAAGCTCATGAACTGACCTCATCCAAATAAAATATTTTTGTTCTTCGAAAGCTCAAAGGAAGAAGAAATGCAGGAACCTGGATGAACATCAGCAGCACATTACTATTTGATGCATGGCAATATTTGGTGGGGGAAAAATTAAGTCACAAAAGATTAAATGTAGCATGATATCTCTTTTTACAAAGGTGAAACTATTAAAAAATATTCTCTTTTAAAAATACAGAGAGATGTGGCAGACCTAGGCAGAAAGGAAGGGAGAAGTGGGGATCCGAGAGGGTCCCAGGGGACAGGGATCTGGAAGAGCGGCTCTGGGACAGCAGCTGCAGCACATGGGTAGACAGGGGCGCTCAAGGCTTGAGATTGGGGGGAAGAGGTTGGGGTGCTCACTGTGCCCCCAAAATAATAACCAATTAAAACAAAAGAGAGATAATCCTATCTGGCCCGCATGAACTATTATGCAGAAAAATAACCTTAGTGCTTATGTCACAAAATGCAAGCCCCAAAAACCTTTTACAAAGCTACAACTCAGCACATTTTCCTTGGAATTAAGACTCATGCCTTGTTTTCTCATTTAAAGACTAGTATCTGTTAGGTCAGCAGAAAGATGCCCTTTCCAAGGATTGCAAAACTCAAAATCTATTATTTGGTTTTGCATTCCAAGGTATTTTTTGTTCATTTGTGTTAAGACAGGGTCTTGTAATGTTGCCTAGACTGGCTTCAAAGTTGTGACCCTCCTGCCTCAGCTTCCCAAGTAACTGCAATTCCCAGAGTGTGCCACCACGTCCCGCTCCCAACATATGATTTTTCTTCAAGATTAGTCCATATTCACTAGAAAACTGTGAAAACAACTTTTTTTTCAAATGTCGTGAACCTGGGTTATGAGCTCCAAGACCTATCCAAATACTACAAACCTCGAGGGCCAGTTTCCATCCTACCAGGCATGGATTCAGTGTAAGCAGAGCGTTCTGTAAGGAAAGGATGGCATTTGTTCTGTTGATAGGTTCGCTTTTGCTAGAGGAATGAGCATCTTCAGTACTTGGGACAGAGTTTTTAAACCACCAGGTTCAAGTTCAGTGATGCATGTCTTGACATAACTCCAACTGCTCAGGAGAGTCTTAAGACATGTATCGAAACTAATGTCTTCCTGAAAAGAGCCCAGATTCAAAACTCAAGACAAATAATACCATCTTCCATGGGCAAACACCTCATTCGCTTTGCTGCTCCTAAAAAGGAGGCCAGTGGAAGGAAACACAGAGCCCTCAAACTAAACTAAAGAATCCAGGGTTAAAAAGATAACCAAACACTTGGAAAATTTGGGCAAATGCTGCCTAAAACCCAGCTGCTAATGTAACTTTGACCTGCATTCAAGAGGAATAAGTATGTAAGTGTTTACTGTCAAAATGATATTCTAGAGTTTTTAAATATAATAAATCCTTTTTGTTCTCAATTCTGTATTTGAAGTCTATATTTGAAATGTTGGACACTGGATATTTATCATTACTGTTTCTATTGGAAACTGTGCATTGATGAACATCCTAGTCAATAAATCTCTGTGTGCACTGGGAAAAGATAAAGGTCAGTGGAGATAAGGGAAACGACCTCCTGAACTGCATTTTAGTTCAGCTAGACACTGATCTAAAGTGCAGATGTGAAGATACAAGAACTGTAAATATACGTACATGTTATATACAATGTTTTGTATATGACATGGATGGATAGGTAGGTAGATGGATGGACTGATGGATGGATAGTGGATGGATGGTTGAATGGATAGATGGTTGGATGGACAGATGGTTGGATGGATGGATGGATGGATGGATGGATGAGTCGGTGGATGGATGGGTGGAT